TTAAAACTGGTATTCAATACTTGTCTGCTGTAAGTACAGTACTGCTATATTTGCTAAACTTTTTATAATTAGGTAATTTGACAATGATTTGACGCTACAGTCGTAATACAATATTGTATGGAAAAGACAAAATGTCACACTGTGACTTACATCTGCAGACGAGATTGTTGCAGGGATTGCCTCCATCATTTGCCTTAGTTACTTCATTTTTGTTCGGACAAACACAAATACCTCCGTCGTCCCCACAAGCCTGAAAGTATAAGGGAAAAAAGCATTGACCATTTACTTTTCACCTCAACACTGTATTAAATATATGAATTTTATAATGTACGGTGAAAATTGATGGCGGTTGGGATGAAACTACCAAGAAGGATGAATTATCGAATAAATAATTGAGCCGTGTCGTGACAAAACCAACAGAGTGGGGTTGCGAACAAAAATAGTGTATTATGCCTAATTAATTTTCATCTAAATTGGTAACATCTTTTAGGATACAAAGTATTGAATTTGATGACAACTTTTTGAAAATTATATCGAAACATATTAAGTTCTTATTATTTAACTAAGTTGTTGGTCATGTCCAAAAGTTGTATAAAACATTTTTGAAACATTTTCCTTAAGTTTACCTTGTACTGGGACAAGTAAACGCTTACTCAAGATACGCTTGCAATTCATTATGAATACTCATTAAGCCGTTTCATTTAATTTCATTCAATTCAGATATTGTTTGAAAATAATGAAGTTCTGACAAAACTTGAATTTACGTGATATGATAATGCACAGGACTAAATAGTACTATAAAAACATAGAACTACGCTGTTGGGTTTACATTTCAGGCCTCAATGTTATGAAACTTTTATTTGAGTTCTGACTCGAATCACAGAATTTTCATTGGTCAGTGTACATTCTGTGTTGGTTTCAGACTAATCAAATACTAGAGATCTGAGTTTGAGCTCATTAAAAAATTTTATAACCTTGGATCCATTATGTAGGAAGACAGCTCCCCCAATAGCTAGCTAGATGGCTCCCTCTTACTAGAGAATATAAACTCTCAAGTTGCTTATAACATATGTGTGCCCGACACACAGCTTAAGATGTCAATGTGTCAAAACAAGCCATTTTCTTACCTGACATTATAAATAGAGATAAGATTCGGGTTCACGTTTTTCGGTTTTCTAGGAAAGAAATTTTAAAAACAAAACATTCCCCATTGTCCATGTTTGTGCTAATGTGGTGCAATATTATCATAAAAAACACGAGCATGACGTGCAATATTCTATATACATCAAAATGTTTCCATTCTAAATATTTAATGGGAAATTGACGATAATTTCAGATTCTCTTTTCATTTATTTAATTTGATACGATAACAAGGTGACTTTGTGCTGCAAAATCACAGGTTTGTGATAACTTTGATAGTAACCTTGTCGTATAATTATATTTCAAACATTATTAACTTTATTTATGTAAAACACAAACAGGATAAATCAATGACTTAACAAAACTTTCTCCATTATTGATTATGGCAAAATGTTGTCATAAGTGTCATGCATTTGCAACTTGTTCTTATAAATAACAAGACGTATCTTATAAAAAAAGATACGCGGCCGAAGTAAAACAGTTTGACTTTCATATGTAATTTCCAGGTTTTCCATACAAAAGAAAACACACACAAACAAAAACCAACAAACAACAACAAAAACATGTTAGCAATGCTTGCATAACAATGACATTATAATTTCTTGTAGGGTTATTTATCTTGAAATACGAAACACTTTTTTCTTAATGAACCTGCATGACGTCATATACTTGAAACATTTTCAATAGTTCATCACTCTACCTTCTTTTTCCTGTTAAAGCATTTGAGAAGACGCAGACCAAATAAGAAACATTAAGACGATGTACGTTATAGTACGAGGAAAAGCAATGTTGCCAATGAGTCGGTTCAATGGTTCCCTTAAATGTACTTTGTACTTGGGCAAGTAAATGCATTCTCAAGATACGTTACATCCTATTTCATCAAATTCTGATAATATTTTAAAATGCTGAAATTCTGACAAATCTTGAATTTGCTGGATGGCCTTAATGATGTGCAAAACTATCAAAAACTAGAACAAGTAAATTATGACTGCTGGTAGAGTCAAAGTAAGGCTGGCTTTAGACTACAGTATGTAGAAAGACTGTTCTTAAATAGGTAGCTCGCTAGCTCCCTCAAATCAAAGATTTAAACTTCGCAAATTGCGTTTATACCCTCATAGTCTTGCCCGACAGACAGCTAAAATGACTGTTTAAATGTTTTCCTAATATCATAACAAACTATTTTATGATGCTTTAGATAAATATGAGATACAGGAACGCGTTTATCGGCTTACTAAGAAAATTAACAAAAAAAAGGCCAAAAAATTCTCAAGTGTCCATGCTTGTGCTAATGTGATGCATTATTTTCATTATCAGACATGTGCATGACTTGCAATATTTTATACATATCAAAATGCAAGTTTCTTTTCCAAACGAATCTGTTGTAAAATAAATAAAAATATAATTTATTAATGATAGAGCCAGTCTGATCAGGATCCATGCTGTTCGCTATCAGTTTTTCTACTTGATATAGGGTTTGTAAGCGAACAGCATGAATCCTGATCAGACGACTGCGCGCATGCGCATGCTGGTCTGGATCCATGCTGGTCGCAAACCCATTATGTTGGTTTTGTCATGACGCAGCTCATTTATTTATCTTTTTTAAAACGAGGTGATATTTTCCCTACAGTAAAACGTTGTATGAGATGTAGTGTAAATGTTTTGCTTTGTTTCAATGAGCAGTATTTTTTAATTTGTACCTTCTTGCAGTTTGTATAAACTCTCTTTACATGCTAATGATAACAATGTTATATGATAATGCAATTTTTTGGGAAAATTTACATCAGTTTAGGGAAGGCACTCTTAGAGTGTGTAGCGTTGTTTATTAATTTTGATAGTAGAGAATATTGTTTTTCTGAAGGGAGTTTTATTTTATTTGTTGAATTTTGTAGTTATCTTAATTGATATGTGTTCATTGGTTGCATTAGGTTGTATTTGGTTGTTGAGTTATATTTGGTTGTCTAGTTATATTTCTTTGGTTACATATATATTTTGGTGATAGTCGTTGAGATGTATTGAGTAATTTTGTCTTGTCAACATTTTCAAAATTAATCATTTGGTTTTGCAGATATCTGTAAATATTGGTTGTTTAGGTTTGTGTTGTTTTGTGATGTTGATTAGATGCTATGCAGTTTAATCTGTTGTACAAACACGCTGTCAAATGTATTGCTACCCCGATAATATCGATTAAACAATAATCATGTTCATCGTTTACTCCTCAAGAATGAAATAAATATCTTTTTTTCAGAACTGCAAGTGAATGGAATCTATTTCAGATATAATATTTATTGTATAAAACATTTTTTTTACATTTTCAATGGTTCAAACACTCTATATCTTGTTTTTCATTTTAATAAAGCATTTGAGAAGACGCAGATCCAACAGAAAACAAATAGACGATGTACGTTATACGAGGAAAGCAATGTTGCCAATGAGTTAGTACAATGGTTCCCTTAAGTTTACCCTGTAGTAAATGCTTTCTCAAGATACGCTTGCATTTTATTATGAAAACCCATTCAACCGTTTCATCCAATTTCATCCAATTTTGATAATATTCTAAAATGCTGAAATTCTGACAAATCTTGAATTTACTTGATGGGCATAATAATGTGCAAAACTGTCAAAAAATGGACAAGTAAATTATGAAGTTTTAGGTCAAAGAAAGATTGGCTTTACACTGCAGTTAGGTAGCTAGATAGCTCCCTCAAATCAAAGATTCAATTAAACTCACATATTCATGCCCGACAGACAGCTAAAGCGGGTGTTTAAATGTTTTTCCAATGTGTCTTAACACACAAACACTTGGGGTTTTGAGCTCCAAACGCGTTTAAAATCCAAATAAAATGCATATTTGTCAATCCCAGCACATATGTACTGATCATATATATTAACAAAACTTAATATAAGCCGTTTTGAAAAAAAATCATATTTCAACATCTAGTCATCTATAATAATACTTAAAGATGTTGAAATATGATTTTTTTTCAAAACGGCTTATATTAAGTTTTTTGATACATATGATCAGAACATGTGCTGGGATTGACAAATATGCATTTTATTTGGATTTTAAAGGCGTTTTGAGCTCCAACCCCCATGCAAGTGTCTGTGTCTTAACAAGCTATTTATCAGAGATGAGACATCGGTTTTCTAAGAAAACAAACAAAGACTTAATTAGAGGCCACCAAAATCTCCTCACTGTTCTGTAAATGCTTATTCATCGACATAAAAAGAGCAAAAAACGTGTATGACGTTCAATATTTTATTCGTATCAAAATTATTTTTATAAAAATTATCCTAGACACTATGAAACAGTTCGTGTTCTTAAGAAAACAATGCAGTGTCAGTTTCTTAAATAATTTTCACACTTGTAAATATTACATTTTCATCCAATCACCTGATGTTCCATTGAATCTTATGGTTTTCCCTGCAATGTGTTTGCAGCCAATCGCAGGCTGTGTTTCAATCCAGAAATCTGACCTAGTAATTTAGCATGAAACAGTATCCCAGAATGTTCAAATAATTATTCTGATGTCATTATTGGGTCCGTTTTGAAGGTTATAGGTGTTCTATTTATGTCACTATAGTTTACAATAAAAAAACTCTTCTTTTGTTAAACATCAAAAGACTGTATTGTACAGTCCTAAAATAAAATAAAATACAGTCCTATAAAATTTAGTATGAAGTTTAGCCAAGACTAGTAGATGACTCCTTACTTGTATGATAACAGCTTTAATTACAGCAATTATTAATCAATTTTTTGTTTAGATGATTTTAATCATATGAAAAGATACTAAATGAAACGGATAGCCATAGAATAAAGATATCGGTGCCCATATTTTTACTCGATTAAATAAGGAGAAATAAATATTTTTAAAATCAAGCGCAGCTCTATTGAAACAACAACAACAATTAAATCGAAAGTAACAAAGTATAACAATGCCTAACGATTTTAGCCTTGTTTGAAGTTTAATTACGTTTAATCATGCGCTTCTATATTTCTCTGACTTACTGTAAGTAATTTGTATTGATGCCGTATGCATGCAAACACGATTACTAGATGTTTCGGGGCTTAACTATAAAATATCACTGTGTGAACGATTTTTTTCTAGATGATCGAGTAGATGATACTAGATCTGGTCAAAAATTATTTGCAAAGCCATAAGTGTACTGTAATGCTAGTAGAATCTAGTTCCCGTACAAATGCAGAACCCATATTTTTCATATAAAATCTTGATTTTCACTTGCGTTCTTAAATATTGATATCCAATCAACGTAAGTTTCAGACTTTTGTAACTCTGGGGATTCTGTCATTTTTGTATTTTCTGATCGTAAGATAAGTAAATTCATAGCTAACATCCACGGTCTAACACAAAATTTCCTAACAGTCCTAACAACGCAAAGTAGTTCTCACTCAAAACTGCTTAAAAACCAGCCATTTAAAAGAAAGAATAATTTTTAATGTATACTCAACATCACTAATTCCGCGTCATCACTTATCTCACGGTAATGGCATATTTTCATGTGACCATTGTTATAATTGATCAGAATTGACATATTTTATTCAAACACCTTAACAACAAAGTTTCTGTGCAAAATAATTTAAATCTATAGATTTTTACGTAAAACTGAACAACATCTTACAAACTTCTGCAAAAAACAACAATAGTCCATTAAATGTGTGCATACGTCTGAAACAATCATCATTTTCTAAATGTTCTTGTTTGTTGAAAAAATAAATTTTGAGTTACAATGTAAAATTACTTTTTAATATTTAAAATTATGCAAAATAACTTAAAGAAATTTTAACTGAAACATGAGAAAACTGAAATAAAACACCATTACCGCGAGGTAAATGATGACATACTGTTTTCTAAATGGCCGACACACGGTTTACATCTGACAAATTAAAACTAATTTTGATTGAATATATTGTTGTTTCCTTGTGTCATATAGCAGAAAAATGACTAAATGATACAGTTTATGACATTTTTTGTAGTGTAAGTTTATTGTTTGTGTTCTTTACTGTTTTAAAGTGATAAGTACCGTGAACTAAGAGGAGCACAGTATAGGCATTTAACGAATTACAGTGCATTAAAAGTTTAGATTAGTCAACAGAAATATGAGGTTACAATCACAAATTTCGCGGATGAATATCTTTTTTACCCAATGCAAAAATGTTCGGCTATTTCCGTAAAGCTTCGGATTATCATGAATATTATTTTAATCAATGAAAATGCTATTTTTAGTGGAATATATACATGTCGGACTGTTTTCGCTTAATTATTTTCATCAGTGTTAAACAACAGGTTTATCGTGAACAAAATACCTCGAAATTAATAAGGATTACAAACACGAAATGAAAATTCTCAATTTAGAATTACATAATGTATTCGTTTTTATTCAAGGTACATATGTATAACTTTGCCGTGGTGCAGAGGTAAGCGGTCTCGTTGAGGGTGTGAGAGGCCTATGGTTCAAATCCTAGTCGAGACAATTCTATTTTTTTTCATGCAAAATTCCATATGTATCAATCTCAAACTGTTATAGAAGAAAATCAAAACGCTGTCGCTGCGTAAGATGAATTATAGTATATTAAAATAAACTTATACAGGAAAGTACATACAGATAGTCAGTATGATTTAGATTGCAAAAATCAGAAAATACCACAGAGCTGCAGCCCTTTGATTTTCTTTCCCACTATATTAGGGGTGTAACAATACAGCAAAAACCGTATTGCAATATATTGCCATTTTGCTGAAGTGTATTGCAATATATTGCAATACGTATTGTCGTGTATATGTTTTGATGTAAAGATGGAGTAACATTTATATATTATCATTATATGTATATATTTTTAGTAGAAACTTAATAAAAATGTAAGGAATAAATAGAAAGTAGTGTCACACAATTTGATAAACAAAACTAGTCGCGTGTGACCTTTCACATCTGGGCCGCTTATGTAAATTATGCGGCCGCTTATTGACTTTTAAGTGTACTAGTTGTCGGATACTTTTATCTTACGTTGGCGGCAACAAAATTTGCCAATTAAAGATTTTATGTGAAATTTGTACAAAATTAGAGGGCAATTAATTGAAAATGATGATTTTTATAAAATACCGGTTTTCCAAAAATCGTACCGCGGTTCGAAATTAATTTTTTCATATTGCAATATATCGGTATACCGGTAAACCGTTACACCCTTACACTATATATATAATATAACAAGGAATACAACTCAAAATTGCTCAATTCATCGAAAAGTAAAAATAGAATGCAGTATACAACAGCTTTGTTTTCTTTTGATTGTTGGACATTAAATTTCAAGAAAAATGACTCACTTTGATACATGGACAAGATATTATTAAAAATAACCTTTTGAGTTTCATTTTTATACATGTTTGTAAAATTTTGGTTTGTAAAATTACACCTGTAAAACAATATTTAATGCAAACGTATACACAAAGTGACATTTAAGAAAGTTAAATCATGTAATCGGTTAAATATCAATCATCCACCACCATCAATGATGCAATCTGGTACAAATAATTGTAACAATTTTTGTTTGTTTTGATAATTTCTATCCTCGACTTCCATTTTGATATTGCCTGTATGTTCCATGTGTAAATCCAACTTCTATTAGTAACTGTCAATTTCATTGGCTAATGAATAATAATAATCCGGATAATGATGGCGTATAGCCGCAACGAACAGCAGTTTTATCATCAGCCAATGAAAATACTCTCAACATAAACACACCTGCATAATGGACAACAATATAGAAATGTTAGTTATTTCCTGCAATGTTGCAAGTTTTAATGAAGACTTTGTAGTAAAACTTGGGTTATGCAGTGTCTATTCTAGGAATTCAAAAATAGGGGTGATTTTCCCCCATCTATTTCAAAAAAGGGGGGATTTTCAAAATCAAGGGGTGCCAATATAAACTGCCAATGCTAAATCGTCTGCATTAAGTTTACACTGAGGCATTCAACCGATGAAAAAATTAAAACGAAAATATTAATTCAAGGCAGCAGAAGTTGTCCCCCCTTAATTTTTAAACGAAAACAAATTATTATAGCACTGTTGCAATTGATTATAAAGGGATTGACAATACAAACAATCGATCTACCTTTCACCTCGACCTACCTTTCACGTCTAGATCATAGCCAAGCTAGGTAAGCCTAATTTTTTATGCTCCCCGAAAAATTTCGGGGGAGCATATAGTCGGCGCCTTGTCTGTCTGTCCGTCTGTCCGTCCCTCCGTCTGTCCGTCCGTTGTCTTGTCCGGAGCATAACTTGAAAACCCTTGGAGATAATTTGGTGAAACTTCATACAGTGGTAGAGGGCATCGAGGGGGAGTGCAGTGTCAAAGAACCATAACTCTATTTTGCCCGGTTTTTGAATTATCTCCCCTTATAGAAAAATCTTGTCCGGGGCATAACTCTAAAACTATAAGAGATATCAACATGAAACTTTGTAGGTGAATAGATCTCAATGGGTAGATGTGCAGTGCATAAGAACAATAACTCTTTTCATCCTAATTTTGGAGTTATTGCCCTTTGTTAATTTTAATACTTTGAACTTTGTCTGGAACATAACTTGAAAACCCTTAGAGATAATTTGTTGAAACTTCATACAGTGGTAGAGGGCATCGAGGGGGGTGCAGTGTCAAAGAACCATAACTCTATTTTGCCCGGTTTTTGAATTATCTCCCCTTATAGAAAAATCTTGTCCGGGGCATAACTCTAAAACTATAAGAGATATCAACATGAAACTTTGTAGGTGAATAGATCTCAATGGGTTGATGTGCAGTGCATAAGAACAATAACTCTTTTTATCCTAATTTTGGAGTTATTGCCCTTTGTTAATTTTAACACTTTGAACTTGAACTTTGTCGGGAACATAACTTGAAAACCCTTGGAGATAATTTGTTGAAACTTCATACAGTGGTAGAGGACATCGAGGGGGAGTGCAGTGTCAAAGAACCATAACTCTATTTTGCCTGGTTTTTGAATTATCTCCCCTTATAGAAAAATCTTGTCCGGGGCATAACTCTAAAACTATAAGAGATATCAACATGAAACATTGTAGGTAGATAGATCTCATTGAGTAGAGTTGCAGTGCAAAAGAACCATAACTCTGTTAAGCCTTATTTTTGAATAATCTCCCCTTTTAGAAAAATCTTGTCCAGGACATAGCTGTAAAACTATAAGAGATATCAACATGAAACTTTGTAGGTAGATAAATCTCAATGGGTAGATGTGCAGTGCACAAGAATCATAACTCTACCTTGCCTAATTCTGGAGTTATTGCCCTTTGTTTATTTTTACTTTTTGAATTGTCCAGGACATAACTCGGAAATCATAAGAGATATCATCAAGAAACTTTGTAGGTTGATAGATCACATTGATTAGAAGTGCATCGCAAAGAACTCTAACTCTGCCTTGCCTAATTTTGGAATTATTGCACTTCGAACTTTTTCCACGGACATAACTCTGAAACTACAAGAGGTGTACTTTCCTGTGTCCAAAACCTATTCGGGGAGCATCACCCGGCTCAAACCGGGCTCTTGTCTTGATTATTTACTACACTAAAATGGTGCCCAAATGTCAGACCTAGCACACTAGTTCCGGTTGGTACGAAACATTCCGTTAATTTCTGTCAACTCATGTAACCAGTACCATACGGTACTAAATTATTATAATTAGCTTACAGTTACCTCCCTTCGTTTTTCGTTGTAAATGTAAACAAAACAACCAAATATAATGCGGGATGGAAGTTTTACTATTTTATTAACTTTTTTATAGATGCGTGATTTTCACGCACATGATTTTGAATTGTGCACGATCTGTGAAATACTAGCGTGAATCGCACAATCGCATGTCCTAGAATAGACACTGGTTATGACAGGTTCATGTATTAACTTCTAGAATAACATTGATGGAATAGAGGGTATTTCATACAGTTTATATGTGTGAATACATTTTACGAACCGAGGCCACAACTTGTACCCCTTGTTTATATTATATAAATAAGGACAGATTTCCATGTGGTTTAAGGTAAAAAAGGTTTTCATTTTAAATTGCTTTCACCTGTGCCTTATCAAAACATGATCTTTAATTAGCATTTTGGGCTTGCCTCTCTGTACACATGGGCTGAAAGACTCCCATATGACATGTATGTGGCCTGTTAAGGGTTTTTCAATATTACCACCTGTGTACAGATAAGTAGAAAAATACATACTATAATGAAAAGTTAGCTGCCAGTATCCTGATTATACCAGAGGGGAGTGGCCCTATAATCATAATGTGGCTGGGACGACTAGGAAAATGTGCTAGGGTGCTTGGGCCCCTAGCACAGTCTGAGAGTGACAGCTGTGAAGGCAGGCCCTTTGCTGGCATAACAGTCCTTTTCTGGGCTACATTAACCTCCTTTTCATATTATCTCAGGTCACTTTCTTGCATGTCAGACATGATTATGTACCATTTACACCGGTGCTAGAAAAGCCCTGTCTTACACCCACCATGGAAGACAAGTCCCGTGCTTTAGATGTCATTGTCACGAGCCTTTTATGAATGAATTTAGGATGACGTCACTTAACCTTTATGAATGAAGTTGTAAGTTCATACGCTACTTTAAAAAAAAAGAACGTAATGAGAATATCATTTTTCTTAATTTCTGTTCTGAAAATAATTGATATGTAATATGCAAGAAAAAGAATCAAACACCGGCTGTCGGTATAGATAGGAATATCTAGCTCTCGTGTAACTGTTTAAGCGGAAACTTGGCAGGGCCTTGTTAGTATGTTACAGCCGTAAACAGTTACCCTTGATATTCCGGTCTGTACCGGCACCCAGTGTTAGATGCTTATAATATACAAATTTGGTTTTCATGCTACTTTTGGCTCAAAATTCATTTCTTTGCTAATACTCTGTGGAAATTGCATGAAGGTAAATTATCACCAATTTGTGCTTCAAAATTAACCTATTAGGGGCATGACTGGTGACATGTCCATCATCCGTTCTCAACAGCAAAAGCTGATTTTGTGCTTCAATTGGCTGATGGACCTGCATTAAACATAGAAAACCAGGGCCAAAAAAGCTTTCTTTGTAGAGGCAGAATTTAAGCTGCTTCCCCCAACCAAACTAGCCTCTTTTTTACCACAGTTTGGTTCTTAAAATTCCCAATTCTTTCGAAATTTCCCATAGAATTTAGAACAAAATTAAATGATGGTGTTGATTAAGGTCTTTTACTGCCTTTTTAGTATTTCCCAGTGCTTTTTGCTGTTCTATTTTGAAGAACTTGTTAAAAGTTTGTGTAAAATTTGAGACCCCTTTTCCCAAAGTATGCCATAATCAGGCATTATTTCCCCAAAAATGGTGTTTTGGCCCTGAATACTTACATAAATATTCGAATCTTGTCCTATATTATCAAGTGTGTAATTGAAAAAATGTCATGCATACAAGCACTTGATTGCAGGTAAAAAATGCTTTGGGATTACAGTACCAGGTGATAGATACAAGGGTTAAGTCCATGCTGTATTTCCAGATTGACATCTGTACCTCTATAAATGAAAAATGGAACCAATATAACAACATTGTATAATTTTTCTATATTCAGTTATAATCTACTTTCCTTTCATACAAAATAATGGGGAATTTCGGTACCCAATATCAGGCATCATAACTAAGAGTTATTCTAAGTTTAAAACATAATAGGATTTCCATATTTGTAATGAGCTGAATATTTATGTATAACAAAAAGTTTTTGGGGGAGGGAGCGTATTAAAAAAAGTTTTTAAATAACAACAATTTTTTGTACGGGAAAAACACACTTGCCAGCATAGTTTCCTGATAAAAGAAACAGTGGCTTCACTGATGATGAGTGAACCCACATGGCCAGCAATCCTTTGAATATTGGTCCAACATATTAACCTTTAATTCCAAACTGCCATGTTTATGCTCCAATTTAAGGTGGGGTGGGCATTTAGATTTACCCTTGTCCGTCTGTCTGTCTGTCCATCCGTTCTCATTTTGTGTTGCACATACCTCAAAAAGTATTTGACCTAGAGTCATGAAACTTTACAGGATTGTTGATCAGCATGTGTAGTTGTGCACTTGGGTATTTTCGTGTGGATTTATTTAGAATTTTTTAGAGTTATTGCCTTTGACTTACAGTAGTATAAATTTGCAATTTTCAACTTGTTCATGCATAGCTCAAAAAGTATTTGACCTGTAGGCCTGAAAGTTTACAAGAATGTTGGTCAGCATGTTGGGGTTCCCTTGTGGATTTATTCAGTATTTACTTAGTAAAGATTTTTAGTTTTCAACTTGTGGCTCATATAGCTCAAAAATATTTGACCTTTAGTGGAGTGTGGGTGCACCTGTGTCCTATATACACATTTCTAGTTTAAGAATTGTTTTAATAACAATAAAATCAACATTTATTAAATGGGATTCAAATAATATTGATAACAAAATGACAATCAATATTAATAATTTGATAGAATTTACCGCAAAAAGCCAAAATTTTTGAACATCACTTGCCAATATTTCTGGGTACTGCTAAAAATTAGACTTAGAAAAGCTTGTTTTAAATCCCTCTTTCTTGTATGATAATGGGCTAGCAGTTCATCTAGATTATTGATGTTCTTATTATCATTAGTATCATTACTTGATGACAGGCCTGTCTGTATGGGTAAGCACCATACTTAAATGTAATTAAAACAGACTACCAGAACAAGCAAATATCATAGAACTGTCTTACCATGGCCTCCATTCTTCAGCAGTCTTTTGTCTACCAAGACTTTATATTACTGTTTTATTTCAGGTATTTTGTTAATACATTGAAGATGATTATCATGAGGATAAGTGTAAAACACTTGACTTCTGCACTCAACTGATTTGGTTATTGAATATGACAGAAATGCATTAATTGAACAATGAATACTTTGGAAAGTGTCACAAGTTGAAATTACGGATTGCAGAAATTATAGAAATATGCCAATTGCAGAAAGTGACTTCAAAGCTGAAGAACTTGACTCGATTATTAATGTGATTGGACTTAAACCTAGTGATCCACTAGATGGTTTTGGAGGCAAGTCTCACTTACAATGTTTCATAGATAACAAAATGTTGCAGTAGTATTGTACTTGTACATCATTATTGATTTTCTGTAAATGATTTATATGAACATTTTATTTACATATAAAAAAATAGAGCAAAACCATAATGTTATGTATTGGTAATTGAATAATTTTAAGTGTTTTTCTTTGATTTTATGCAGGTTCAGTCACACTTATAGTGTTAAGTTCCTGTACCAATTAGTTTTTGTACCATCAATTTCTGTACTTACAGTTTTTTTACCTTTAGTTTCTGTATCTAGAGTTTATGTTCCTTTATTTTCTGTACTTATAGTTTTTATATCTTTAGTTTCTGTATCTATAGTTTCTGTATGTTAATTTTCTGTACTTATAGTTTTTATACCTTTAGTTTCTGTATCTATAGTTTCTGTTCCTTTATTTTCAGTACTTATTGGTTTAACATCTTTAAATTCTGTATCTATAGTTTCTGTTCCTTTATTTTCTGTACTAGTAGTTTTTATACCTATAGTTTCTGTATTTAAAGTTTCTGTTCCTTTAGTTTTTGTACTAATAGTTTTTATGCCTCTAATTTCTGTACCTTTAGTTTCTGTTCCATTATTTCTGTACCTTTAGTTTCTGTACTAATAGTTATTATACCTTTAGTTTATATACCTTTAATTTATGAACCTTTAGTTTCTGTACCTTCAGTTTCTGTACACTGATAGTCTTTATACCTTTAGTTTCTGTAATTTTAGTTTTTATATCTTTAGTTAAAAAATTTGTTCCTTTATTTTCTGTACCTTTAGCTTCTGTACAAATAGTTTTTTTATACCTTTACTTTCTCTACCTTTCAGTTTCTGTACCTTTAGTTTTTGTACTAACAGTTTTTATACCTTTAGTTTCTATACCAATAGTTTTTGTTACCTTTAGTTTCTGTTCCTTTATTTTCTGTACCATCAATTTCTGTACTAACAGTTTCTGTTCCTTTAGTAATGTAATATTACTTTTTAACCATTCATTTCTGTACTGATAGTTTTTATAAATTTAGATTCTGTACCTTTTGTTTCTATACAGTCAATTTCAGTACATGTACTTATAGTTTCTGTACCTTTAGATTTCTGGTGAAACAGAATAGGGGTAATGTTTGCATGTTTTTTGAACTCGTAAAGTTTTCAAAATAAATTTTCAAAGTTTGATTTCATTTGAAATTGTGTTTTCTTGCCTGAATAATGTAAAGTTGTATTCAATGCATGTAATATAAACCATATTTAATTATATTTGTAGAAATATGGTACCAAGTGTTCCTGTGGGCATTGTTTTCCTCCATGTTTGTACACATTATAGCAGCATTGATTGCCTTGTGTAAACTAAGGAAGCATAAGATTGGCAGATGGATACCTCTGGGTATATTTGCAATGGGAGTGCTGTCCCCTATCACCCTTGGAGCAGTTAGCAGTAAGTGTGTTTTTTTAGTTTGGCTCCAGTCAATTTTAACCATTGTCATTCGCGTTCCTAGCAAAGGGGAAAGTGGGGGATGGATAGGAGAAACGGGTCGTGTTTTTATCTTTTGTCTGTGCCTGAACCACTGCCAGGCTTTGTGTCGGCCAGTCATATCAAGAAATTTAACACAGTAGGGCAGGCCCTTTATTTGAGAGTCAGACCCCTTTCCAGGAAGGGAGGGATGGGATGGCAGTTGTCTGTGGTTTAAGTTGAATGAGGGGGTTACTTACCACATTCATATCACTTCATTTATTAACCAATGTCAGTGATAGATTGTGGCAGTTTGGTCAGGTGACATTCTGATATTTTCTGCTTTCCTGTTCAGGGAAGGCTTATGGAGGTACCCAATGCATTATTTCATGGTTGGTTTCAAGCCTAAGTGAAACTTATCATCTTTCTCAAGAATGCTGGCTTACTATTGCAGAAGAACTTAACAGCCCTCATATGTATCAGAATGATTCAAAAACCCATTATGTCTTGAGGGCCAAAAACTTAATTTAAGCAGCCCTTAACTTGTCAGTCACAGATGTCAAAATTACTATTTTCATTATGAATTATACTTGAATGATTGGTCTTTTGTTTGAAATAAAAAAAAATAATTACACACCTCCTCAATTGTTTGTGGACAGGTCTATGTGTCCACTTTGTCACATGCAATTTGTGACCAGGTCTTTCCATAACAGAAATACCTTGTGCACAGTCGATATCCTATACTTAAATTACTTTACAGCATGTTAAGTTTGAATTGTTTCAAAATATTTTTGTATATATATTAAGACACTGCATTTTTAGGTCTATACATATCATGGATGAATAAATTTATATCCACATCATTTCAGTATAAAATGTGTATGAATATCTTGTTATTTATTTTCAGGTGCAGCTATAGCCGGATTTTACAGGGCCTCAGATGTGGAGATGATGCCTTTCTATGCTTTACTATGGGGACTCGGACAAACCATAATTGGAATGGTGTTTTCATTTACAAGAATTCTAGCAACCTTGTGATATATTGACCTTAAACCTGTAGAATTTATGTAATAGACTGGTTGTGTTATGAATTTGGAACTTACCTTAAGAAATACAGAAGGATCTTAAAAATCGAAGATCCAAAAATGCAGAGAAACAATATACAGCAGCAACTTTAATAGGTTATTAAGAAGCCACTTAAATTTTGACATTGACTATTGGATGAAAGCAGTCCTGTATGATTTCAAAGGAGTTTAATTGCAGAAGAAGTCATCTGTGAATTTTCCGCTTATTTCACATGACACTGAGACTTAGGGGCGTCCGTGGCCGAGTGGTTAAGGTTGTTGACTTCAAACCACTTGCCCCTCACCTCTGTGGGTTCAAATCCCGACAGGGACTTTGGATTCTTTCATGTGAGGAAGCTATCCAGCTAGCTTACGGAACGTTGGTGGTTCTACTCAGGTACCTGAAATAATGCACAGAAGGGCACCTGAGGTCTTCCTCCACCAATAAAGCTGGAATGTCGCGATATGACCTATACTGTGTCGATGTGACGTAAAACCCAAAACAAACAAACAAACACTGAGACTTGTAGACAATGCTGGTAATAGTAGCTAATTCGGAACTTGGCAAATGTGGGTTTTTCCAAGCTAGTTCTCGGTTACAAACAAACTTTTACTGTTATACTTCAATATAGCTTCACGGTGCTTTATCTTCACATGGGCACTATTGTTCACAATAATATTGTCAACCTGTAGCACTTATTATTAAAGCTGTAACTGTAAAGATTTGTTTGTAACTGTGGATTATCTTAAAATATATTTTATTGGGGAGTTAGTCTATATAGTTTGACCAATCTCTATACTAACGGCATATTTAGACAAAGTGTGCAGTTTCTTTAATTACATCAGTTTTTAGCTCACCTGTCACAAAGTGACATGGTGAGCTTTTGTGATTGCTTTTCCTCTGGCGTCCAGCCATAAATTTTTACTTTAAACAACATCTCCTCATAAACCGCTAAGCCAATTTCATCCAAACTTCACAGGAATGTTTCTTTGGTAGTCAACTTTAAAAATTGTTAAAAGAATTTAATTCCATGCAAAACTCTGATTGCCATGGCAATCGAAATAAAAACTGAAAATACCTTGAGCTAAACCTTTTGCAACTCTATTGTATACGTCAAGGGGTAGTCCAAATAATAAAAAAAAAACGTTATTTAACATGCTATATTTATCATTGTAAAATGTGAATATCATATTAATGATGGAAAAAACATGAAATAGGTTTCGTTATAGACTAGTCACGGGTCAAATTTTGTCATGAAATTGAGAGCGATTCACGAGTCGAAGTCCCGATGTGTCGAAGTTTTTACGCAAGTCCCTTCAACTTCGACTTACCGAAGTTCTACTGTAGTAAAAACTTAAAAAATCTTTAAAAAAAACAAATAGCTAGAACTAAGATATTAAGCATGTAACATCTTCTAGTGGGTGTCTTCCAAGTTTGTTCAAATAAAAGCCCTGGGGTCAAAATTGGCCCCGCCCCAGGGATTCATTGTTTTTCCCTTTATGTATATCGTAAAAAAAAATTGAAAAATTTTCTATTTAAAAAACCAAACAAGCTAGAGCTAAGATATTTAGCATGAAACATCTTCTAATAGGTGTCTACCGAGTTTGTTAAAAAAAAGGGCCCAGGGTTTGAAATTGGGCCCACTTGGTGGGGGTGGGGGTTATTGATTTTTCATACGTGTATAGTAAAAACTTTAAAAATCTTCTTTAAAAAAAAAACCTAAAGAGCTAGAGTTTAGATACTAACATGAAATATCTTCTAGTAAGTTTCTACCATGTTTGTTCAAATAAAAGCCCTGGGTCAAAATTGGCCCTGCCCGGGGAGGGGGATGGGGTTGTTGTTTTTCCCTGTATGTGTATAGTAAAAACATAAAAAAATCCTCTTTTAGAAACCCCAAAGAGCTAGAACTTAGATATTAAAATTGGCCCCACCCTTGGGGCCTATTTTCAGGTGAGCAATTTCAGGGCCATCTTGTTTATGAAAAGTTTGAAAATGTATTCTTATGTAAAGATATTGTGAATTAAACAAAGAAATTTATTTAGACATTGCCAACAGCAGTTACAATTCCACCTAAATTGCCAAAAAAAAGGGCACAGTAAGCAGAAATAGTCATTTCTGTATTAGTCACAAGCTAAAAATATGGTCATAAAAACTGCAAAATCAGTCATTAATCGCAAAAGTGTGTAAGTCATCACTAGAAACTTTAATCTTTTTACTTTTCTTAAAATCTTAGAACCTATTTCTCAAGCTTGATTTTCTTGAAATATAAATTATTCACTTCCCAATATTCATCTTCAGAATTCATTTTCATGACAGTTAGCATGAATCTTGGAGGCATATGTTGCTTGAATGTGTGACAGAATTACAGTTTTGAAATTGAATGCCTGTCTTTGAAGTACATGCAGTTATGTTAATTTGTTTACAGTGATACTGAATAATTTAACCAACTGATTGATGTGATTTATGCTTCACCAGTGACTTGTGCATTATGTTATTTATTTCAATTTATTATGTTAAATTGTGCTTCAAGAATTATTTTGAAATTGTAAACTTTCGTAACTATTACATGCATATATCTTTACTTTTGTAGATATTATCAATACTTTATTTTGAATAACTGCAAAATTTCTGCATTCAAGATTTAAAACTGTTTTTGAAGGGCTTATCTTGTAATAATTGAAAATATGCAAAGTAAAATATGAGCTGTGCCATGACAAAACCAACATAATGGGTTTGCGACCAGCATGGATCCAGACCAGCCTGAGCCAGTCTGATCAGGATCTATGCTGTTCGCTATCAGTTTCTCTACCTGTTATAGGGTTTGTAAGCGAACAGCATGGGTCCTGATCAGACTGCACGGATGTGCAGGCTGGTCTGGATCCATGCTGGTCGCAAACCCATTATGTTGGTTTTGTCATGGCACAGCTCATATCATTCTATAATGGAAAAACCATAGAATTTCAAAAATTGTAAACATCATGGAAATGCTACTGTGTCAGCTTTGAAAATGTCTGAAATCAAAATATCTGCCAAAGTAATCATGAAAAATTGTATGTCACATGCAAATCATTCATTAGAAATGTTTGTTCAAGCAATTTTTATTTTTATTCTCTGTTCAAATATTGATGAGGAAGAAAAAGGTATGCTTATGTGTCATTAATATTAATGTTCACTGTAAGTTTTAATTTATGTATTTATCACATACCTGTGCCGATTTTTCTACTCCTTAAAAATGGTATTGCATGGCCATGCATATATTTTGGCGTGAATTCATTAGCGTTATACAAACAGTGTAAAGACATGCTAAATGTTAGCGTTATACTATATTCAAGTCAATGAAAAAATGACTCTTTTTTCACTTTAAATGGTCTTTATTATTGGTATATCATATATAGAATAGTTAATTCATGCAAGTTTATTACTGAGATTATCAAACTTGTTTTAAAATAATATTATGCTTGTCAGAGTCTCGCATAATATAGTTTTATTCATCTTATGCAATAAATTCAGTATTGAACTTTCACTTATTCAATATCCTCTATTTATTTAAATATATTGGAAAATTGTATGATCATATTAACTTGATGTGGCATCTCAGGGAATCATGGGAAAAAAACATTAGATACTTGTCCACGTAATGGAAATACCACATATTTGATAAATTAAATTATGCTCAAGCCCTGAATAGGTAAACCATTTTATTACATGCTTTTCGGTGGTTTATAGAAATATATCAGTGATATAAAACAGGTAATTTCACTGTTTGAAACAGTGAAATTACCACTTTGATAATTTCACTGTTTTGAATTTAAGCCCCTTACGTTTGTTTCCGTGAAATACCAGCGTGCACAGTACTGGGTACCAACTTAATGACGTGACGTCGTAAATGACGTCACGTTATATTATTATTTGGCGCGCTTTTCATTCAGTATTAAGTTTAATGTCTTTTAAAAACGTTTCTTTGCATATAATAAAAAGAAAATTTGTAAAGTTTAGTGTAAGATCGAAATATATTTCACCTTGTGAACACCAAAAGTTCATATTTCACTCGTGGCTGCGCCACTCGTGAAATATACCTTTTGGTGCTCACTCGGTGAAATATATTCCGATCTTACACTGAACTAAACAAATATCCTCTATATTATTGTAGTCAAAGGTAAAAAAAAATGGTTTTAATTTCTAATGAATTTCTGACAACAAAAATTACACAGTAATTGTTCTTGTAGTTATTCAAACAATAATGTAATTAATTATTATTTATGCAAGAAAGATTACTTTGTAGTTATTCTGACAACAAAAAGTACTTGATAAATTTTATGGAAACAACGATTATTTTGTAGATGTTCAGACAACAAAGATTATTCAGTAGTTGTTCTGACAACAAATATTACTCAGTTGTTGTTCTGACAACAAATATTACTCAGAAGATGTTCTGACAACAAAGATTATTTTGTAGTTGTTCTGATAACAAATAATACTCAGTAGAATGTTCTGCCAACAAAAATTACTCATTTGTTTTTATGACAACAAAAACTTCAGTAGTTGTTTTGACATTAAAAAATAATTTGGTAGTTATTTTGACAACAACAAAAAATTACTCAGTAGTTATTCTGACAACAAATATTACTCAGGAGTTATTTTCAGAGCAAAAATATTCAGTGATTAGTCTGAAAACCAAATTTCTTAGAAATTACCCAGTAGTTATTCTGACAACAAATTATCAGTAGTTATCCTGACAACAAATATGCAGTAGATATTCTGACAATAAAATCTAACTTAGTAGTTAATCTAATGGTAAAAATTATTCATGAGTTATTTCTGACAAGATATTTTAAGATTTTTCTTTGTTACTTTAAAAAGAATGCTTAATGTATAACTTATTAAGTGCTAAATTTATTATACAGCATTTTGGCATTTTCCAACTATTTTGAGAAAAGACTGTTTGTTGGCTTGATAGCAAGATAAGATGATTTTTTAGAAATTGGAAAATGTTAAATAATTGCCTTATGAATTTATTACTTTTAAGTTTCACACATATGTTTGATCACATGTCAATGGTTAAGAAAACCAGTCAAAACAATTCAATTTTTCAAAGCAGTTTCATTTTTGCTAGCTATTTGGGAATGTTTTTTGACACAAGAAAAAAATAGGGAATGCAGCCTATAATAACTGCTGGCAATGGAAAGTAAAATGTAATGCCCTGAATCTAGATGGGTGATACTTTTTGCAGATTGTTAGAATGAATCCATCAAACTGTTTACTTTCATGAGTTATTATATTCTTTATGGGTGATATTCACATATTTGAAGATATCAAATACAATATTTGGATTAATTTTTAATTTTTGGAATTAGAACAAATTGCATAATGTATTATTATTTTGTTTCAACATCAACTTGGTTTTTGTGCAATATCATTCATTAGCTCTACTTTTTCAAAGAAAAATTTTGAGCAATTGCTACAGTCCGGTTGTCTTTCCTGTTGTAGTAAAAATTATCTTTAATGTTTGCCATTATTATATTTATTCATGCATGGGTTATTTTCATACTTGGACACAACAATTTTTTGGACAAGACCTTCAAGTTGACCTTGACTCTTAAATGACTTTCACCTTCAAGGTCAAATGTTTGAATTTTGCTTGATATTTGCTATATTTTGTTGTAACTTTGTTATTTATGGAGTGATGGTCTTAATACTTTTTGACACAGTTTGGGACAAGTTAATAAAGAAGACAAAATTGATAATTTGTGAATTTGACTTTAAAGGTCAAATTAATGAATTTTGCTTGATTTCTGCTTTAATTGATTATAACATTGTGTATTTATGAATGTATTGGGTTCATACTTGAGCACAACTACCTGAAGGACAATGTTATAAAAAAGATCAAACTCAGTTTAGCCATGACCTTTAAATGATCTTGATTGTTTGTTATGATCTATTAACAGATTTGATTTATATTAAGACAAAAGAACCCTATTGACAAAACCCGAATTTTGAAAAATTAAAATTGACCTAGTCTGTCAATGTCAAATTATAAACATTTGCTTAAACTGTCCTAACTTTGTTATTTACAGACTTGATTCATACTTGGATAAAAGAACATTTGACAAAACTGACATGATTATTTATTCTGATATGACCGTGACCTTTAATTGATCTTAACTGACAAGGTCAAATTATTAAAATTTGTTTAAATTGTCATAATTTTGTTATTAAATGAAGATTTTATTCATGAGGACAAAACATACATATTATTCTAATATGGTCAAGGTCAAGTTATTGAAATTTACTTAAATTGTCATAATTTGTTATTTACATACATAATTGATTTATCCTTGGACAAAAAAAAAACAAAAATGACAAAACTGACATGATGAATTATTTTGAAATGACATCGACCTTTTATTGACCTTTTCCGTCAAATGAATTTTACTTGTCATAACTTTGTTATTTATTTTTGACTTTTATTCATTCTTGGACAAAAGAGTGACAAAACTAGCATGATGAGGAACTCAAATGTGATCTTTTACGTTTGAATGACCTTGACTGTCAAGATCAAGTGTGAAAAAATGTTTTGTAGCAGAACTCTGTAACAAATATTCTTCTGATGTGTTTGACTTTAGAAATAAGGAAAAGTCGAGCATGTCAACCCCCACCCCCAGGTGGTGTCTCCTGTTTTAAATATAGTTATTATCCAGATGTATTTCAATTATGTAAGTTATGATCTCAATAAAATGTAAACATTTATTACAAGGTTTCCTGGTTTTTGAAAGAAAGAAGTATACATTGTCTTTTATTAGTACTTTTTGTATGGCAAAAAGAATTTAACTGGTTGTTTGTTGAATATCTGTGTCTTGAATCGAGGGGAAAATTTGAAACTACTTTTCAGAATTGTTAAACATAATGAGATGATCATGATGTGCAGAAAGCAGGCTCCTTGGATCAAGGTCACACTTGGTTATTATGTATGAATTTCAATATTTCATGTCCGCTCTGTATCTTTTGAACTGATGGAAGGAACTTATAACTGTTTGGCAGAAAAAAAAACTTTAATCATGATTTGAAGATGTTCAGATTGAAAAGTTTGGTCTTTCTTAGAAAAAAGTCAAGGTCACTCTCGTTCATTCATATCTGTTTTTATGTTCAAACTTCAAAAGTTGGAGAATACTTTTATTAGATTAGTAACTTTGTATATCTGTCTTGTAAGGTTCAACGCCCAAACCCAAGCTCAAAGCTCGGGGGAGAGGTCAGCGGTGCATGGTTAATTTTTTTTTTTGATCGACGATTATCTTTCTTCTTTATATCCTTAGATCGACTTAAAATTTGAACAGCAACATCATGGAGACAAGACCCATCTAAAACTGAGGTCTGTTGTATTTTGAATGATCACGAAACAGTGGTCTTACAATTTTATGAAAATGTTTTTAAGTAATGTCTGGCAAAAACGCAATTTAGAACACGTTCCTACAGGAATTGACGCCATGTTAGCCATGAAATAATGAACGCTACGTTCTAACACAAGGGAAATGACAGCAAGATGCCCGCATAAAATGTTCACTTTTTCGACCGGCGATTAGGTTCTTTAACGAAATAGAATCTATAACATTTTGTTAAAACCTCAATTTCTCGAGTCAATCCTTAAAATACCATTTGTCTAATTTCTTGTAGGATGTTTTTTGCAATAATTTGGAGGGTCTTATTTACCAAAGCCCTGACACAAGCCAAATGTTCGGAAAGTTTACGAGTGACATGGTCGTTATTTAGACAGGCGAATAATTATTGCTGTATAGAAAGTTCATAAATTTTCGTAAAAACATCATGTTGTCCAGGCAACCGTTAAAATATCATTTGTCTGATCCCGCTGCTGATTCAATTTTGTATTTGTTTAGAGGGTCTTCTTTGCGCAATATAATGATCAAAGCCATTACCCAAGCGAAACGTCCATGACATTTCCACGCGGAATAGTCGGGAGGTTTTTTGTTGTTGTTATTTTTTTGTTTTTTTTTTTTATTGGCGATTTTTTCTTTCTGTATAGAAAGTGTATAGATTTTAGAAAAAAATATTTTCTAGTGTCAACCGGTTAAACTCCCATTTGTCTGATTTCTTTGCGGATTTGATTTTGTATTACTCTGGAAGGTCTTTTTTGCACAATATAAGGCCCAAAGCCCTAACCGAAGCAAAACATCCAGGAGATTTTGCGTGGCATGGTCGTTCTTTGGACCGGCAATTTGTTCTTTTTGTATAGAAAGTGTATACATTTTTGTAAAAAACACATCATTTTCTCAAGCCAACCGTTAAAACACCATGATTTTGTTTAATTCCGTTGCGGATTTGATAATGCATTTTTTTGGAGGGTATTCTTTACGCAAAGTAGTGCACAAAGCCCTATCCATGCGAAACGTTCGGGAAATTTCTGCATGGCATGGTCGTTCTTTGGAAAGACGATTTGTTTTTTCTATATTTGAAGTGTATACATTTTCGTAAAAAACACTATATTTCGAGTAAACCGTTAAAACATCATTTGTCTCATTCCGTTGCGGGTCCGATTTTGTATCAGTTTGGAGGGTCTTCTTTGCACAATATAATTTAATGTATAAGCTTTTCTTTACCGCAATGTAAGGCACAAGGCTCTAACTCAATAGAAACGGCATCCGAATTTCCGCGAGGCATGGTCGTTTATTGATCGGTAATTTGTTTTTAGCTCACCTGACCACGAAGTGAGGTATAGTGATTGGGCTATATCCGGCGTCCATCGTTGTGCGTCGTGTGTCGTTCGTCGTCAACAATTGGGTTGTTAACAGTCTAGAAGTCGCAGTTTTGATTGGATCATCATCAAACTTTGTCAGAATGTTTTTCTCAATGAAATACAGATCGAGTTCGAGGATGGGTTATCTCGGCACAGAAGTTATGAATAGAAAAATCTTGTTAACACTCTAGTAGCTTCAGTTTTGATCAAATATTCTGGAAATCAGTCAGAAAGTTTGTTTTGATGATTTTTTAGGTCAAATTAGAAGATTGGTCATCTCCGGTCAAAAACTAGGTCATAGGAGCTAAAAATAGAAAAATTTGTTAACACTCTAGTGGCTGCAATTTTGATCCAAAGATTCTGGAAATTTGTCAGGAAGGTCGTTTTGACGATTTCTAGGCCAAGTTCGAAGATGGGTCATATCCGGTCATAACAACAAGGTCACAGGAGCTAAAAATAGAAAATCTTGTTAACACTCTAGTGGCTGCAGTTTTGAACCAAATATTCTTAAAATTTGTCAGGAAGGTTGTTTTGATGATTTCTAGGTTAAGTTCGAAGACGGGTCATTTCGGTCAAAAACTAGGTTACAGGAGCTTAAAATAGAAAAATCTTGTTAACACTCTAGTGGCTGCAGTTTTGATCCAAATATTCTGGAATTTTATCAGGAAGGTTGTTTTGATATTTTCTAGGTCGAGCTCGATTATGGGTCATCTCTGGCCAAAAACTAGGTCACAGGAGCTAAAAATAGAAAAAGCTTGTTAACACTATTGGCTGAAGTTTTGATCCAAATTTCCTGGAAATCAGTAAGAAAGGTTGTTTTGATGATTTCTAGGTGAATTTCGAATATAGGTCATCTACGTTCAAAAACTAAGTAACAGGAGCTAAAAATAGATAAAGCTTTTTAACACTCTAGTAGCTGCAGTTTTGATCCAAATATTCTGGAAATTGGTCTAAAAGTTTGTTTTGATGAGTTCTATGTCAAGTTTGAATATGGGTCACCTGGGTTTAAAAACTAGGTCACACTGCCCAAATATGGAAAAACCCTATTAACACTCTAGTGGTCATATTTTTGACTCAATTATCATAAAATTTGGTCAGGATGCTTGGATGGGTCATCTCGGATGAAAAACTAGGTCACATGAGCTAAACATAGAAAAATCTTGTTACACTCCAGTGGCCACAGTTTTGATCCTAATATCCTGGAAATTGGTCTGAAAGGTTGTTTTGATAAGTTCTAGGTCAAGTTCTAATATGTGTCACCTGGGTTCAAAAAAATAGGTCACACCGCCTAAATATGGAAAAACCTTGTTAACACTAGTGGTCACATTTTTTATTCAATTTTCATCAAACATGGTCAGACTGCTTGTCTAGGTTATTGTTCGGATGAGTTAAAAACATGGGTATAAAGGGGATTAAAAAATAGGTACAGGATTTAAAAAAATAAAAAAATTTTGGTTAACACTTGGGGCTCTTTTTTAAATCAAAATTCCTGGACTTTGGGGCTGAAATTTTGTTTAAATTTTTTTTGGGTAAATTAATATGGTCACAAAGGGAAAAAGAAGTCCACAGCTCAAAAAATATGTTCCCTTGTAAATCTAGTGGTCACTTTTTGATCCCCTGTCAGGGAATTTGTCAGAATGCTTGTCTAGGTAATTGTTTGGATGAGTTTGATGTGTCAGGTGAGCGATCTAGGCCCATCTTGGCCCTCTTGTGTAATTATATAAAGTGTATGTCTATTCGTAAATATCACCATTTTTCTGGATTCAACCGTTCAAACAACATTTGTCTTATTCTTTCTTATTTTTTTAGGAACAACATTTGTCTTATTCCTTTGCAAACTCGGTTTAACATTGGTTTTGAGGTTCCGAGGTTCCTCTTTTCACCAAACTAAAGACAAAATGCTCTTACCAATTTGAAATAGCCTCGAGAAGCCAGTTTTTGAATCGGCGATTTGTTTCGTCTGTTTATCCACAGATCGAAGCATTTTATAGGGACCCAACCCTTTTGAAACTGTGAACAATACTATTTCGAATTGTTACAAAACAGTTGTTAACTGGTGTTTGATATAAACGCGCGCGTGATAGCACATTATAACAGGAATTACGTCATTCGCAGTGAGTCATGTTCAAATGAACGCTACGTACTACGTACGAACATCTTAGTTTGAAGGTTCTTCTTTACAACATATCAAAGCTCTACTTCAAGGAAAATGACCGCGAGAAGACTGCGTGGTATGGTCATTCTTTGGAGCGGTGATTTGTTTTTTAAGCATATAAAGTCTAAGAATTTTCATAAAAAACACCATTTTTTAGAGCCAACCGTTAAAACAACATTGGTCTGATTACGTTGCGGACAGGCTTTAATCGCATGGTCGATTTTGTATCGGCGATTTATTCTTTAAATATATAAAGTGTTTATGTATACTTGGAGAAAAAATACACCACCTTCTGGTGCCACCCGTTATTCCGTTGCAGATTTGGCCTTGTATTGACTTGGAGGTTCTTCTTTACAGAAATATAAGACTCAAAGCTCATACCTTCTCGAGGTGTTCTCGAGAGGCCCGCTTAGCATAATTGATATTTGGATAGGCGATCTTAGCTATTTCTTTCTATATGAATTGTATGACTTTTCGTATCAAGAACACTATGTTTTGGAGCCAGTGGTTTAACTGATATATACAAAAAAAAATGTCATTGGATATCACATGTTAGAACTAGGTTTTATTCCTATTTTTTACTTGTTTTTCCAAGATCACTCGTATTGGAACTTGTATGGAACACCTCGCAGATTCGATTTGCGGGAGTATTACGGGGATGTTCCAATATTTATGTATAGATACTCGGCACGGTTCTTAATATCATCAATTTAAAAAAGCGCATTTCAATTCCCATAAAATGCTTTCTACAGCGTTAATTTAACCAAACGAAACGTCGTGTTTTGATAAACCACGCTATTGAAAGTAAAAGACTAAATCATTTAAAAGCTAATAAAATATCTAACGATTTAAAGATTTCAATTCCTCCATTTAGCTGTTTACATTTTGCTTTATAAACCGTCTAGTGATTCATAGATGTTTTAGGTTTTTTTTCCAAGAGGTAAACTTGACACCTTGATGAACAGGTAGTGTTCTGTCTAGTGACTGTTTCTTTATTTGCATGGACATTTCTTTTACTTTAGGGGTTCGCACGGGACAAAATCCTTCATTATTATTATATTTTCCTCTTTAGAATTTCATGCATTATTCCTATGTGTTTGTCAAAAGCAAGTTGGCAATGGTTTACAATAATGGCAATTGGTCAAGTTTCTATGACAACATACGCTTCTGTTACACACTTTTTATTTATTTTTCATGTTTTTACTTCATTGATCTTAAATTAGCAAAAACAGTACCCGTTTGCTTCAACTTACTGAAATAAAAATGTTCTTTGTTTGTTTCATTGATTTCGTGGAATACTTCACCTTCACCTGAAAGTCTTTAGTATGGACCTTTCTTTCCGCCTCCAATCCCTCCAATTCTTCTTGCTCCTCTTAACGCCTTTCCATCTCTAAATCTATATGCTTGGGGTTCTTGGCTCCGGACGGTGGTGCTGGGAAAAGCTCGCCAACAAGAATTCTTTGATGACTCAATGCGTGCAAACGTCTTACAGCGCCTGCTGAACCTGGCGGTATTTCTTTTGGCCAATACTTCGCTGGAACGAACACATAGCTGTTCACAATGTCACAACGGAGATAAAAGGCTGCCAACAGGAATGGTTCTGAACTGGAACAGGTCGGAGAAGGTCATACCTGTACCAGAATCGGGTCAATGCACCATCTAACCCGTCCGCGTTTGTGAACTGCGGAATCGGGCCATAGGACTTTTTTGGGTGATTGTGTCCTTTCACCAGGAATGTCATACAGCTGGATTGAGCCGCATTTAGACAAAATTTGACGCATTCTGAACAATTCCCAAACATAATCAATGTATGCGTGATAAAGCCAAAACAATGGGTCGTGTCCGGCTGTATTCATTCCTGAAAAATGACCTCCGACCCAACAATGTGGTCCGCCATGGAATAACTCGAAATTGTACTTTGGTGACGCAAAAGGGAAAGATATATCTCTCACACGGCATCTTGACATGACCGCATCAATCATGTTTCTGTTTATCAAGGTACTGTCTACACCAATATTTCTTGTTAATGGACCGCTTGGTGTCCTCCAGCCAGCGAAAGGACCGGTTCGGACATGACCATTTCCGTTTCCAAGGAATGCGGATGACCAGATGACTGAGAAGACTGGGTTCTTCATGTAGTAATCCAAGGTTGGGTCCCAATACGGAAGGGCTAGTTTTGGATTGTATCTCCTCAAAGCTTCTTCAAACCTTCAGATAACATACAAAATATCTAGAACTTAACCACAAGTATCGTTTGCACGTAAATATACAGCTTCCATTTACCATTTACATAGTAATCGGAAATCTACAATATCGTTTATATTTTTCAATTGCTATTTTTTTCACTTTGACAGAGTTTAAACATACTTTCTTAGCTTTGAAATAACTTTAATTTTAAAATCAAGAAATAGTTGTAGAAAGCATAAATGAAAAGATTTTTTGCATATTGTATAAAATATACGTACATGGCAATAAAAATCCTGTGCCAACTGAGAAAAGCTGGGCCGCTGTGAGCCGTCATTAATACGATTCCCTTGTGGAATTGGGCAAATCTGTCGTACTCTCCGTTCTAAAAGTTGAGAAACAAAATATTAAGAACAATATTATATTTGTAAATTGTATCTTTGGTTAGTTTTGTTATTTGCGTTTAGATAATGTTATGAACAACTGTGCTATAATAGAAATAGCGGCAGTATAGAACAGCTTAATTAATTAGATCATGGCCAGCCAGATTGGTAATGACTTTACATTGCGTAATACAAACACAAACCATATGAGCCGCGTCACGACAAAACCAACATAGTGGGTTTGCGACCAGCATGGATCCAGACCAGCCTGCGCATCCGCGCAGTCTGATCAGAACCATGCTCTTCGCTATCAGTTTTTCTACCTGTTATAGGGTTTTTAAGCGAACAGCATGGATCCTGATCAGACTGCGCGGATGCGTAGGCTGGTCTGGATTCATGCTGGTCGCAAACCCACTATGCTGGTTTTGTCGTGACGCGGCTCATATTTTTGTTGAGTACCAAGAAATATGACTATTCACGGTAATTTGTTTATTTTATGTAGATCTATGTACATTTGTACATACATAAAGTTTCAAAATGATATATAGATATATTAATGCAAGTATGTCAAAAGTAATAATAACATTATCGAGGACCCTCCCCAAAGCCAAATCTATTATATCATACTACGTACAAATTAATATTTATAAGTACACGCCCTACATGTCAGTATAACTAATTAAATGATATAGGAAAACTGATTTTTGCAAATTGATATACATTTGTGTACCAATTTCTAGCGCAGTTTACAGAATCTTTAATGCAATGATATAGTAAAAACCCTGTATAGATGTAGAGAAAAACTGCCCAACATCAACATTACATGGAAAATACTGGACACCACAACATCCAAAGAAATTCAACATTCTACATTTTTTGACATTTTGTGTAATCGGCTTTAAAGTAACTCCACTGAGTTCCAAAAAGCATAAAAAACATAAAATTTGATTTTCTTACATAAATCAGCTGGGACACTTAAACACACATAAAAAGTATACAAAAATAACTAAGGGAAATCCTCAGAAATACATTGAGCGAAATCCCTTTAAAATACGCCGTATTACAATTACACTAATACATTAACATACTAAAGTAGTAGTTTCGTAATTAATACCAATTACCTTGTTTCAATGTACAAAAACTTACCTTTTTCATCCTATTTAATACATTAAAGAACGCAGCTCTCTGTCCATCAGACAACCTACGAATTTCTTGTCGAACCCTAAATCCAGTTGGGGGCATAGGTACCCTACCTGCACGGCCCATACCGCCTTTTTTAGCCTCACGCTTTTGTCGTCCAGGTTGGAAAAGCTATGGAATAGAAATTATAAATGAGCCGCGTCATGACAAAACCAACATAATGGGTTTGCGACCAGCATGGACCCAGACCAGCCTGCGCATCCGCGCAGTCTGATCAGGATCCATGCTCTTCGCTATCAGTTGCTTTCTCTACTTGTAATAGAGTTTGTAAGCGAACAGCATGGATCCTGATCAGACTGCGCGGATGCGCAGACTGGTCTGGATCTTTGCTGGTCGCAATCGCATTATCTTGGTTTTGTCATGACGCGGCTCAAATGACTTATGTTGCTATACGGCTGCTTTCGAGTATATTATGCCCAAATATGTGCAACTTATTATAATTATTATTATTATTATTATCATAATTATTATTATTATCACAATTATTATTATTATTATGATCATCATCATCATCATCATCATCATTATTATTAATTATTATTATTATTATTATGTCCAAGTCATTCAAGTTCCATTCCCCTCCTATTTAAACAGTAAGCTTAGTATCTTAAAGGAGCTAAAAAAACAACAACCTTAAAACATTAAATTTGAAATTTGGGGAAGCGCCTTATATGGAAAACTCTACAAAGGATAGTATTAATGTAAATGAATAATGAATTTATTCATATTGTTTTGTTTGGGTTTCCTTTTAATTAATTTGAGCATTCATCATTCATACGATGTTGAAGTTTTGTATATTTGAGCCGCGTCACGACACAACCAACATAATGCGTTTGCGACCAGCATGGATCCAGACCAGCCTGCGCATCCGCGCAGTCTGATCAGGATCCATGCTGTTCGCTATCAGTTTCTTTAATTGTTATAGGGTTTGTAAGCGAACAGCATGGATCCTGATCAGACTGCGCGGATGCGCAGGCTGTTCTGAATCCATGCTGGTCGCAAACGCACTATGTTGGTTTTGTCGTGACGCGGCTCATTTAAATTTTAAAATGATTAATCTTAATTAGAACAAATTAAAACAAAATGCTAAGGTATTAAATCAAAGGAAACCTTTCTGTACGGAAAGAAAACTGCAAAGTTTGCAAATTTAAATTGGAATAAAAACTTTGACATGAATTAAAAACTAACGAAACAAAAAAAAAACACAAAAAAACAAGTACAAACAATTTCGTTTCATGTTTGCCGCTCATTAAATATATTTATGTGAGGCAAGAACTTATATTTGTTGGGGTTTTATTTTAAATAATCATTTCAACAAAACAGGATTACTAGAACTGGAAGAATAACTAAATCGTGAAGGAACGCTCATATAAGTTGATATTCTCATAACAATTTTGAAAAGTAGGAACAACAAAATGTGAATGCTTTTTTCATCAAATATTTTATCTGAATAGCTTTAATATTTTAAGGGTTCTCCGAGGGGAACGATTATTTAGCGTCGCCGGCACCAAACCGCTGTGGGCTTGAATCTCTGACCGAATCCCTGTGAGGAAGCTATGCCCAGCTAGCTTACGTAAGGTCGGTTGTATTATTCAGGTGCCTGCTTATGACTTTAAAAAAGTCTTCCTTTACCGGTACACACGCATAACTCATACAATGCCGCTAAAAGACTTACATTTCAACAAAACAATCAAACAATTTCATATTTTTTATGCGTCGCGTCTCTCCAATCCATCTATTTCCGCCCATTTTATTTCGTAATTTTTCCCGATTAATGTTAAAATTAAAATTAAAAAAACAAACAAAAAACGATCATGTTGGTTGTTATCACATTAAAGTTAAAAGGATAAAGATTTAACGTATTATGGAATTCGGCCTAAGGAACTGAAAAACCTCACTGCCATTTTGTATAATTTTAGGTATTCAAACCTTAATAATATTGTAAGTATCCTGATCAAAATTGTTCTTTCTTCCGGGTTTTTGTTAAGTTTAAATAGTCACTATAAACAGAGATGTAGATATGTTATTATCTATGTCTCTGCTATAAGTAGCGGGAATTATCTTCTCTTTTGAATCACAATGCTTGTATAAAATTAACATATTTGTTTGTTTTTCTACTAAAATTGCGGTTTAACACGATATGTCTACTTACCGAGTCAATTAGGTTGTCCATAAATTGAACATCGTCTACGGTAATGTTAAGGCCTTCCAATCCGCGATTTTTCAGCATGATCTGTTTCAAGCAGGCGACATAGGTCGCGTCTGTCGTGTCGTACATCATGACGTCACCCGTTTTGTTGCTAAAGATCTGGATGCATTCCTGAACCTCGATTGGCATATCTGAATACATCAGCTGGCTGTGAGCCACTTTGAGCATCATACATGCTAAACCTAGCACACACAGTAGGTTTATCTGAAAGAAAGTATAAACAATCAATCAAGCGATTTGTTCAAATATACATAACCTTTATTTGAAGGCCCGTTTTGTCCCGGAAAATGCTTTGATTTCAAATTTTAATATTAAGGTTTTTATTTTGTTTTTGATGTCCTGTTAAAGCTTGCCAACTGTCATTCATTGGCCACTTTCCTGAAACTTTTGGTTTTGTTACTTATAGCAATTCGAACAGTTATAGTAATTTAGCAATTTGCACATGGAAGTCAAAATACTACTTTGTTAACATTTTCTTCATTTTTATGACAAATATTTTCAGATTCTGCAAGTATAGTATTAGTTATAAAGATATTTGACACGTTGTATGGTCCTGTATATGTTGTTTTTACACATGTATATATAACATCTTTGTAACGGCTTTATAATAATACAAACTTTTTTACTACTTATAAAAAAGCTGTAGAAATCGACTGCAGCCATGTATATCCAATTATATGAACGTCACAATTATCCAGTGAAAAACGGCGTTACATGCAGTACTAAAAAATTGACATTACGAAAACGACATTTAAAACGATTTCTCAAAACTCTGTAAAGTATTTTGTTTATTGTCGTATACATTTTGGTCATGACAATCAAAAGGTCCAAACATTTTAATAGCATTATTGCTATCCTATGATTGTTACATATGAAAGATGGATAAAATTACATGTAAAAATGTTTATATTTTCGGTGATTTATAAATTTTTGCAAGTACGATCGCTTGCATAAGTCCTTAATCACATTTGGACAAAAACTAAAATGTAATATTATTGTCCGCAAGTGAAATGTAATATTTTTGTCCCAGATCACATCTGGGCAGTGAAATGTAATATTTTTTGTCCCAGATCACATCTAAATCTTTGTGAATGCCGTATCATAGAATGCAATATATAATATTCTTTTATGAATAAGAAGAGATCATATGATTTAGATTTAGATAATTATAAAAATATTATATTTAGTAATAAATTGTGTAGTATTTTATTACGAAATGAGGACACAAAGAAACAATAGTTATTATTTAATTTAAAATTTTGTATTTGATTAAGAAATAATGTCTCAGAGAAACAATAGTTTTTTATAAGTTTCAAATTTATCTTGTAGATTTTGTAATTTCTCATCAAAGATCGTTTACATTTTTAAGAATCATAGAATATTTCCTATAAAAAAAAACTGAATTTTTTTTCAGTTTTCAATATTAAATTAATTTGATGTTTTTTTGAAATACAAGACATGAACTCAATTTTCGGAGAATGTTATTTAGGTGTACATTGTCCATAGTTGACGGTTTGCATGTGAAAGAAATAATGCATTATAATTAAATTTCTTTTCATATTGACAAAATTTTATGTTTAAAAGTTAGACAATGGGTAGTTGTTATTTTATTATACTAAAATTTATCTAGTATTATAGTTCCTTTTGTTTGAAAGAAATTAAAATATTTATAAATATACCTATAACTTATATGTAAAAATGTATTTGTAATATAAGAAAATGTTGTATTTAAATCATGTTTATTTATAATTATTTTTTTAGAAAAAAGAAAAATATCTGTTAAAAACCGTTTTCATTTGTATTCCCCAGAATCTGAAAAATACATCCTTTCAAGATTAAAAATAAATAAATACGTGTAATTGACATACCATTTTGAGCGTCATCACTTTGCTGGGGAGGAAACTACGGACGTGGTTTATTTGAACGCTACGGTTTTATATAAGAGATACAAAAGTGTAGGAGTGTCTTCGTCACGCTGATTTAGGTTCAACAGTACCAAATATGAACTAACGTTTGACTGTGTCATTACATAACACTTTGATTGAGAGATGATGGAAATTTCATACAATATGTGCACATATGAGCCGCGTCACGACAAAACCAACATAGTGGGTTTGCGACCAGCATGGATCCAGACCAGCCTGCGCATCCGCGCAGTCTGATCAGGATCCATGCTGTTCGCTATCAGTTTCTCTACTGAGACTGAGACTCAGACTGCGCGGATGCGCAGGCTGGTCTGGATCCATGCTGGTCGCAAACGCACTATGTTGGTTTTGTCATGACGCGGCTCATATATTTTTACGAACAGAACATATTTTTAAAGGCACACTATACATCAGGGAATATTTTCTTTCTTTAGGAAGGGCAAATGTCAGTTTAATAACGTTAAAATAGTTTAAGAGCATGTTAGATGCTTATCATCTCTGGAAGTCTAATAATTAGTCAGAAAGTTAATAAAAAAAAACTGATATATTGTTTTCTATATAAAATACTCAATCGGTAAAAAATAATTAATTCCAAAAATGCAGCATAATATGGATAAGTTATGCGATCATTGGGTAAATTCTTGGAAACAGGACACCCAAAAGTAAAACACAAACTTAATAAATTGAACATGCAAGCAATTTTAGGCTAAGTGGGCCTTTAAATCGAACATGCCATATACACTATGTCCATTAAACAAGCCGTTATTCTGTCAGTTTGTTGTTAGCTACGATTAGTCCAGCGTGTATACCCAGTAACGCAGGAATGTGCAAATAACGCAGGAATTGTGCAAAAGTAACGCAGAATTGTGCAATTTAGTGGCTAAAACGAGTACCGCGATAAGTAATTGTGTCCAATATTTTATTGTACACTAAATTAGAATAAATGAGTTAGCGCATACGGTTGCTGAGATATTATACTTTAAACTTCGTCAAAAATATTTCCATGAAAATGTTTATTTTTCCAGATCATTCGTGAAAAATGACCACCTGACTGGCGTATTGGTGGCAATTTTTGGTTTCTTTGATATCTTTAAATACAATAACGTAGTATTACTTTATTATTTTTTCATTCGGTGTACCTGAGATAATTTCCAATCTACTCGTGTCATATTACACTTAATTTAGCAGATCAAACGTAATTGAGACTACTTTTACGAGGTAACGCCGAATTCGTGAATTGACGCACTGAAGGAACGGCGGTTATCTCTCATTAAAAGTAGCTAAATCCTAATTTACCAGCTCCTTTTATATTGTTATACGACACTTGTAGTTTGACAAATGTCTTAGGCATACAGAATATGAAAAAATATAGTTTTAAATGTGTTAAATGTACATATCTATCTGACCAAACACAAAAGTCACCTTCAATACGGTTATCATGTTGTCTTTCTCACGAATGATCTAAAAAAGTAAACATATTCCAGATAAAAAATGTTATGCTGATTAAAGTATACTGTCGTAGCAGCCGTATGCGCTAATTTATTTCTTAAAATTTGATTTAGAATAGAATTTTTGGTTCATTTACCTACTGTGTTATTCGTTTTGTTGCACAGATTCGGCGTTACTTTTACGTTAATTGCACGTTTTTGTGTTACTGGATGTGCACGGTGTAGTCTCTCTGGAAATAAAATGTACAAATAAAAGAAAGCTGTGTCAAATTATGACATGAATTTGCTAAATTGATTGGAACATGTTGCAAGCAAATAATTTGTAATAATAGTCTCTGCATTCGCTGATTAGTTCTTATTGATATAATTCTAAAATTAACCGTTGATTCATAATAGAGTAACAATCCAATGTGTGCAAGTACATATTGGAACTTGGCATTTAAGGACAATATGACTTTGTGACTTCTTAAATGTGCTAAACAGAATTCGTTTTAATATTTGTTAAGAAAATATGCAATACGTTCTAGCAGATAATGCCACATATTTTTCAGTAGGACGCGTTTCTGTTATAACACAATATGTATGATTGAAATATTAAAATGCCCTTTTCAAATAAATAATAATGATGTTAATCAAAGTATTGATAAATCTTCTTCATGAATGACGGGTAATGATAAATATATCAAGTATAAAGTTCACCAAAACTGTGAAAAATGATTAAAGAATCATAACTGGTATGAAAACCAGATACATTACGATCTATTTCAAAATAACAAATTAGGTAATAAGACGTTTAAATAACCTTGTCATACTTTGTTATTAAATTAAACAAGCGCGTTGCTCACATTTGACTGTGTATTCAATAAATCAAAGAAGTTGTCAGCATAATTGAATACTGAGAATATAGATATTGAGAAAATGGGTTGTACATTCCAGTCAAGTTCAGTCCTTTTCAGTCTTTGCAATGCTGTCATTTCTTAGCACGTTAACTATGTTTTTAGGGTTATCGTAAATGTGTTACTAAATCAATATTAATACAGTAAAATTTATTACTGTCATTGCTTGCAACGTAGCTCCGCTTTTTAGGGTTATCGTAAATGTGTTACTAAATCAATTGCAGTCAGATCTTCTTAGTTTATTAATGAATGTTTCTTCTTTCTTTTAACTTTATATTACTAAGTAGTTGATAAATAGAACTGATTGACAGAGACATTTTCATTTATAAACAGAATTAAAAAAAAATAAAAACTGTTGCAAGAGTGGGATAATGTTCTGATTGCAAATTGCCCCGTTAATTTAATTTCAACATCCATCACTCTAATTACTTTCTACAACTAATTAAAGAGTTATAATTGCCATACTTAAAAGATAAAAACAGCTTCTGATGTGAATCTAAATAAACCTAACTTAAGCGCCTATTCGAATGTTAAATTGCAAAAATGACTAGACTAAAATTTAATTCAAATCAACATTACGTATTAAGATATTCAAGTCGACTTTGGGGCTATATGAGCTGCGTGACGACAAAACCAACGTAATGCGTTTGCGATCAGCATGGATCCAGACCAACCTGCGCATCTGCGCAGTCTGATCAGGATCCATGCTGTTCGCTTACAACCCCTATGACAAGTAGAGAAACTGATAGCGAACAGCATGGATCCTGATCAGACTGCGCGGATGCGCAGGTTGGTCTGGATCCATGCTGGTCGCAAACGCATTACGTTGGTTTTGTCGTGACGCGGCTCATATGGTGTACGATATGCATTTGATACCGATGTTTTGGACTCGGGAAATGGAAACGAGGCTACATTGATAAGATTAAATCCAATAATGATTTATATTGCAACATCACTTTGTTCAATCGCGGAAAGCTCATTAGTTTTGTTTTGCTAGGTGTGGGGAAAATTCAAATACTATTTAACATAAAAGTAGCTTTATCAATGTATACAAATGGTTTAAAATTTTATATAACATGTCGAACATAAAATTCTCGGCAGCTTAAAAGTCATTAAACTTCTCATTATATTTTGAACTCGTTCTACTTTCGACTGAAAACTGTTTTCATTATAAGCCATTTATATAAATAATTTATTAGCTTTACTTTGATTAACTATTCTAGACTAATGACTAGCAACATTACGTCATATGTCATGAATGCTCATGAATGATTTATAACAAATAATGAAAAGTAACAATCCGATTTTAACTTTGTAGTCTTGTCCAATATAAATGGAATAACAGTATCACGAAAAAAACTACAAAAACGATTTATAATACTAAGCTACATGCAAATGATTACCAAAAGTAATCATTGGCAATAAATGACGTTTTAAGTCGTTAAAATGTCATTAAAATGACACTTCTTATTTTCATTTATAAGCATTGTGCGTTTGAGAAATGTGTGTCATTCATTTATCAAAACACTTATTCACTATTTTAAAATAATTGCTTGTTTGGAGTTTCCATAGATTTTTAACCAGACTAACAGGTCTTTAAACGAATTAAATAAAAATGTTGATATGTAAAATCTTTAATATATGCAAAATTTTGTTAAAATTTAGTATAGAATACGAATGTTACTTACAAGTACGTATACGCAAAACACATTAAAAGCGTCACAAATTTTCTTTCGTACACATTTTTAGTTTAAGATGTGACATTTCATATATATGGAAGCATAAACCTGCCCTTTTAACTTGTGTCTTATGACTTGCGACTTATGACTTGTGACTTTTGACTTCTGATTTGTGACTTACCTGTCTGACATAAATTGGCGCGATTTCGAATGAAATATGGCAGACGAAAACGATTTATATTCTAGAACAATTTGCTCATTTAATTGAGGCGTTTTATAACAAAGTCTCCTCTAAAATAGTATTTTATCATCTGGGTTAGCTGCGATTTGAAGGCTGCTGAGCTTCTCGTATTGTCGACAGTTGTCATGACTTATTCATAATGTAAGTGTTATACAAACCTCTCTCACATGTAGATTATCTTAAAATTTATTGTTTAAATGACGGTTGTGGAAGCTGTTAATATCCTGTTAATTAAGATAGTATCTGATACATTCGAGGGTTGACGGATTATATATATTCACATCAATCAATTTGCTAGCTAGCGCATAGTGTCGCTCAGGGTAGCAGGCTGACTGAGTGGTCTACACATTTGACTAAAGATAGGAGGATTTCCTGGCAGTCTAGGTTTAAACCCTGCTAGGTTTGTGCTAGCTGGTGCTTCACTGGGCAAAAAAAAACTAAACAATAATTGCTGACGTTCCTATAAATAATTCTAGAGAGTGTATGTAACCTTTCTGCACTATCATACTTAAATAAATTATGTTATGTATTATCCAAAGCAAACCCTTGACATGCGATATAAGATTGAAACAAACAAAAATCATGAACAATTCATGTTAGATTTTTCTTTACACTATGCTAGAACATAATATTATAGTACCAGATATATTGTTGTTATTTGCACTTATTATCCTGACTGTTAACACTATTTTTATATACTTTACAGATACTGACAGATACTTGGTTTCAAATACACCGAGATTCTAGGATTTTTATTAAATAGACATGAGATTTTGTTGTCAATGCGGCAAT